GGGGTGGGATGACTCATTTAAGTAGTTACCTCTAGAAGGTGATTGACTTACCAGAAAGGACTGCAGTAGAGTAAGCCAGTAGTTCAGTTAAGTCCAGGTTAGGTAGGTGCAGAGACTATATGGCTGAACCCTGGGGGCTGAAGACCACTCAGAGGTGAGAGTTTAAGATGGCAGTGGTGCTCTTTAATGTTTTTTAAAAAAAGAATCCTGGTTTTTGTGCTTTTGAATAGCGAAGACTGTTTTAAACTTTGAAGAGGCAACTTCAGAATGTATTTGTATAGTCAGTAATGGGTTAAAAAGGAAAGTAATGTTAATAATTCTCACATATTTAAGGTTTCTTAATTATGATTTACATAATGTTTTGTCATTTTTCAAGTCCTTTTCCCATATGTCCTACCTCATACATCACAGTTGATTTTGAAAGTATGCTTTGATTACTTTTTATTGACTACTTTAAGGGTTCTGTGTGTGTGTTTGTTTTTGATTGGCTTCATGTAAGCTTTGAGAGCAGAGAGATTGTGTAATGATTTAATCCAGTCACCTTCCAACACAGGAGTCCATCCATTCTACAGATTATCTGACATAAATTATTCTTCTGAAAACTTCTCAAGCTTCGTGCTCTGAGCTCTTCCACGAAATAGGTTGGACACATCTATTTGTTAAATTTAACTTCCCATACAGTGATTTGCTTTAATTTACTTTTTTTCTGGTACAGATGGAATAAAGCTACTCAGAGTGGGGGTCTGTGAACAGCTTACCTGTTGGCAATGAATTAAGTTGAGGAACTGAGACTGAACATTTATATATTTTGATAGCAGTTTTCCATTGCCATGATATTGCAGCTGTACTTTATAGAAATTCAGTGATTGGAAAAAAGATTATTTTGTTATAGCACATAGTCTATGAGAAGCACTGGCATGGCCCATGTCTCTTATTTTACACTGTGATAAAGTCTCAGATATTTGCAGCCTGCTGAGATGTTTGCCTTTCATCTTCTCCAGGCTAGCAACTCCGATTCTTTCAGTTTTCTCCATGATTTCCAGACCCTTCACTATCCTTAGGACATTTATTTTGGATGCATTCTTATCTGCCTGTGACCTACAGTTCATTAGTTTTTATAGCTGCCTTGTCAGTCTTTTGACTTTTTGTTACACATAAAGACCAATTTCTCAAATGAGCTACTGCCAAGCCAGTTCTTCACCTGAAACTAGTGAAATAATTTTTCATACGTGATACAGACTTTCCTCTTTTAAGCTTTATTTAGATAAGTTTTGACATATTATGTTAGCCTAAAGATAATTACTAACATCAGTGATGTGTACACTATTAATTGTGTTTATCCACTGGTCATATTCGGCTGAGATAAGCAGACCTCCGGGTTTTTCGTTAT